GACGTATATATATATATATATATATATATATATATATATATATATATATATATATATAATTTATTATCTATATATAATTACATTCGTTATAACTCTAAAATATATATGTTTTATTATTACTTTTTTTATGAAATGTAAAAGGTGACCCAGACACGTATTTTTGGAATTAACTGCTAATAATATGTAGCACTGATCTTTCTGACTCACTGGTTCTACAGACAGGGAGATAAGGATTTATTTCAGAGCCTTTATAAAGTGACAACTAGCAGCATACAACAGAGCAGTTAACCGTTTAGATGATACAACTTGTACTTTTTAATTTTGACTTCTGGGGTCAATCTTTCAGCATGTCAGAGCAAATCTACACCCTGCTCATGTTCTGATTGCAAAGGACTCATTTATGCACACATTTCTAAAGAAAATTCCCAAGAAGACAAAGATTAAACAGAGATCTGAGCAATTATTGCAGCAATAAGCCCCTCATAAATATGGGAACTACAGCCATTAATTAAAATGAGTGGATAAAGGGTGAAAAGCTCTGCAAATATGATTCTGCCTTGTTTTCCAGGAAAGAAATCTAAACATTTCTAAAACAAGGTCAATGCATTTGAGAAAATGAAGATGAAAATTGTATAAAATACATATTTTCAGAGAATATATCCATAGCTTATTTTTTGTATGGTGTATATAAAGCACAAATCAAAATATATTGTCAGACAACAAGGCATCAAGTAAATACATGTTTTTTCTTAAAGTATGCTTAGATGTCTTTCTTGGAAAATGTCTCAGGGTATGTATGTGACCATGGTTCCCTGAGAAAAGAACGAGACACTGTGTCCTCTAGGGGTCGCTACGGGGAAACTAGAGGATGCAGTTCGAACTTCCCTCGGAAGGGAACGTCTCAGGTTACGTATGTAACCATGGTTCCGTGAGAAGGGAATGAGACACTGCGTCCTCTAGTTTCCCCATAGTGATCCCTAGAGGAAGCAGTTTGAAGTTCCCTCGGAAGGGAACGTCTCAGGTTACGTATGTAACCATGGTTCCCTGAGAAGGGAACGAGACACTGCGTCCTCTAGTTTCCCCATAGTGATTCCTGGAGGAAGCAGTTTGAAGTTCCCTCGGAAGGGAACCAAACAAAATTCTGTTAAATAAGTGATTTTATTGCAGTGGAAGAGTATCTAATTGATTACCTGTAAGACTGTGTCTCCAGGCTGCATGTCTGTATAAACATTCACACTATAGGAGACGTTGGGGAAGGCAGGCGTGTTGTCATTGGCGTCAATCACAGTGATATTAACAGTGACTGGAAAGCTCTCCTGAACTCCATCTGAGGCAGTCATCTACAAAAGAAGTAACGAAACTGTTAATATCAGACCGTGAGGCAGAGAGAAACACATTCAACGCACTGGGAGGAACCACACTCGCTTCTTAATTTCATAATTACATATTGTGCACAGATAAATCACTGTAAATCAGCCATTTTAAAAAAGAAAAGCTAAAAGCAAAATTTGAAAATTGCTGCTAACTACACAGCTGCAAACAGATACTGTGATATAAAAGGCAGATAGCCTCATGCATTTTCCCTTTGCTTATTGTGAAGGCAAAAGCCTAGCCAAATTATTCAAATGAATACTCTTGCGTGGAGCGTACAGTCCATTGGCGGTACTCCCAACTGCCTCACTAGCTGTCAACTAGACTAATGGGATATCACAGAGAGGTTGTGGACTGCACTGTGGGAAGGGCGAAGTGTTTCTGTCAACCTCCACATGGAATGAAAGAGCTAAAGCTCGAGCACAGAAGGAGGTAGTCAAGTCAAATATCATGAATAAAAGACAACACAAATGAAAACATGTTAATAACTGACGGTCGGATATGGATTTGGTTTATGGAAATGAAGATATAAAGGTGATACTGGCCTATATAATCACACAATTTCATTTAAATATAGTAAACACATTCATAATTTCTGCAATCAAATTTAAATTCATGTTAAATAATATATTCTAAAATATTTTTAAAAAATCATTTGGAAATGAATCAACTTTGAAACAAAAATTTGAACTTGAATAAAAAAAAAATCTGTAAAATAAAAACATTTATACTCCAAATAGGATTCTGTAATCCTATTATAGTATTTTTTTCACAAACAATAAAAAAAGAAATAAATACTGTAACCAGTACACTACAGTAATGTAAATAATTTTGAAAAGACCAGGTAATGTTAATTTTACATGCAGTACAGAGCAAATATGACATAACGGCAAACGGCAGAATTAGCAGATGTGCGAGATTTGTGGCATGAAATGTTTATTATATATATTTAGATAAAACTTGCTTAAAATGCATATTTGCTGAGTGCTAACAGTATATGAATAAAGTAATATAACATTTGCTATTCAATTATTAGAACAGTTAAACAAAGACACTAAGGAAACTAATAAAGATGGAGAATGGGCGCTCGTGTGTTTGGTTCTCAGCACTTTCAAAATAAAAGTCCCAATTACAATACTTATCAGCCAAACAGAAAATTATCAGACAATGCCATTAATAAAAAATTGCAAATATTGACAATATTTCTGTTAACCACTTTCAACCATTGCTTAATTTGTGCCCTTTGCTAAGCTTAGCATCACTAACTACTATTGCTAGTACTTCAGTCAGTAAAGCCTAAAGTATAGTTTGGGTTTTATACGTAACCAAGGTATGCAAACTGTGCAAATTTTGTACAGTATGCATATACTGTTTGTGGGCACCACAAACATTGTGAATCTCATAATGTTAATTTTTAACATGATTTTTCTTAAAGTATGCTTAGATGTCTTTCTTGGAAAACGTCTCAGGGTATGTATGTAACCATGGTTCCCTGAGAAAAGAACGAGACACTGTGTCCTCTAGGGGTCGCTATGGGGAAACTAGAGGATGCAGTTCGAACTTCCCTCGGATGGGAACGTCTCAGGTTACGTATGCATTGTGGGAGTACAATGCCTTAATTTTTTATCCAGTAATTAGCTTGTTCAAAAGGTGGCATCATTGTCTCAGGCTGTTTTCAGTCGGAAAAACCTTGCTAGCTGTATACAAACATTTTTGCTTAAGTAATTTTTTTATTTTTCTTTAATAAAGCTAACAGGCTCAGTAGCTTCTGCAACACGAACACAAGCATGTAGTAGGGCTGGAGCTATTGATTATTTTAGTAATCGAGTATTCTACTGATTTTTCCATCGATTAATCGAGTAATCGGATAAGAAGTAATTTTTCTTTATTAAAGAGCAATACTAAATATACAAGAGAAAATAAGATAGGTCTCTTAAAATAAACAACTAATTTGTTTCCTTTTTAGAAAACAATAATATTTGTATTTCTGAAATTAGTGTAAAAATACATGAATGACCGTGAAAACTAAATCCATTTAATGCATTTAATTTCCAAATTACATTCAAAATGCAAATGCAAATATATCAATAAAAATAAAATTAAAATATAAATAAAAAATTTAATAAATAAATAAAAATACAAAAATCTTTTCACAATACTTTAAAAAAGGTAAACATTACAACCTAAAACTAAGACATAAATCAAAATAATAGTAATAAAAAAAATAATAATACCTAAACATTGCATTTATGTCGTGCAAATTAACTTTCAAGTTTCAGCCTAACTAAAGCTCAAGCATGACATGAGCCTTTACTGTCTTCTTGGAAGGCTTTGTGGCTTTTGTGAGAGGCAAAAATCAGTGGACAGGAAGGTAACTTGGAACAAGAATAAGAGTCCATACACAATTTCTAAACACATTTTTTCTGCAACATGAAATTAGAGTTATTTGGAGAATAAATTTGGAGAATAAATGTCTCTCTACTTACTGGTGTGTGTGTGTGTGTGTGTGTGTGTGTGTGCGTGCATGCGTGCATATGTAAAACTTGCTTTTGATATCCTTTATATTCTATGTACTGGTCAGTTCTCAGTTCACAGCAGTGACAGAAATTAAACTGTTCCAATTATTTTAAATTGATTTTTACATTTTATGGGCATTTTTACCTTTATAAAGCAATTTTTTCTAAAAAAGTGTGCATCATCTTTTGAGTCAA